TGAAGGACTAAAGACAAAGTATTGGTGGGAGTATAATTAATCGAAATTGTTTCAGATATAGGGATGTATGATCCATCAGTTATATGAATTTTTTCCCCTTTAATATAAGAAAAATAGGTTAAACAGTTTTTAGAAGAGATTGTAGTATTTTCGTTAGTTGTAGAACGTATAATCCTAGTATTTGTCTCGATCGGGACTTTCTGCTAGTAGTGCGACGTCATTTGAGTCAGATAGAGATTTTTCAGCAGCTGTCGCCGACAACGCATATGGCTTATGGGCTTCTATTGTTGGCAGCGTGTGTGGCTCACACGTGCGGAAAATTTTCACCGGATTCGGATGGCAGGCTGGTGGTGAGGTTGTGACTTTGTCTGGGGTGGTGGTGAGAATAAATCTTGATAGTTGGGTACCAATTCAACCTATTTTGTTATTTTAGGACTTGGAAAAAAAATTTGAAATTAAAACTCTAAAAGAGCCTTATTTTAACTCTGGGATTATGTAAATTTCAGATAAAAAATGTTAACTTTATTCTCTCATACCATTTATGTTATTACAACTGAAGTATTTATACAGAATTCTTATTTACAGATAAGGGAATTAATATTATAGTAAGGATTCTAATTGATTCTAATAAATTATATTATTATGGGAATGATTATATAGGAAGAAGTATCTCAGCTATTTGAGCAATAGAATATTCTAAAACTTCTTATTGTTTAATAGTTCATATACCTCTTACGTTATTGTTAGAAATTTTGTTTTTGCACTTGATTTAAGAACTGCATTTTGCTTATTACTCCTTCAAGTAATTAGGTTGCTGCCATGAAGGTATAATAACGTGTAGTAGACCTTTTGTCCACTATTGATCTTTTATTGTTTGCATCTGTATAAGCATATAGAAGCAATATATAATTTCTTCTGAATATGATTTCTTTTTTAATATAAGGGTCATTTAGAAATACTAACTAGTCACTTCTTTATTTATGACTATAAGTGCACTTTTTTTTTTTGCTATGTATGAATTGACTAATAACACTCACTACATAGATGATATTTAATCTCGTATGGGATAGGTATGTCGACCTTGCAACTAATTTCTAATATATTTCCTTAGTCACAGGCATATCTTCTACAACTCCTAATATTTGATTGAGTCAATAGGAATACCAACTACTCTACATTCTAACTTGCCAATATCTCTCACATATCATGAATGTATTTTTATTGAGAAATGAATTATCGCGATTTTTGAGTGGGTGACTTCAATTTCAAGAAAATTTTTCAACATATCCAACTCTATTTCGAATTCTCTTGCTAGACATTGTTTTAATATTAACATTTTGTTTCTTATCATTTTCTATTACAAAAATGTCATCAATGCATATTAGGAGAACTGTAACTCCCTGTGTCTTTGATACTTGATAAATAAAGTATGGGTCTCCCTAA